TTTTTTTTGTGGGGTAAGGGAGGTATCATTTTATTTGTATTTCTTTGCTTAATTGCCTAATAGCTTTTATATTTTTTGATTGCTTTCAATTGAGGTACGTTTATTTTTAAGCATTTGCATTCGTTTCATGTTTTGTGCGATTTTACGAGCAGTGATTTGTTTGCTTTACTAAAACATTTCCTGATCACATCTCTGTTACACCTGGTTAGCATTTAACACATAAGCCATGTTATCGAAAAGACATTGCTTATTAAATAATTCATTCATTAATTATCAGTTAATTTATTCCTGTTGTTAAGAAATGAGCCAATAATTTCATTCTTACACGAGGTAATGGCCAAGATAGTAACACAAAATTCGTTTTTGCCACACAAAAAAATGAGTCAGGAAGTAAGCCTAAGATTGAAAAAATCATAAATTTCATTACTATCAGATAGGAATAATTAAAAAATAATTCAAATTAATATACAGCTAATTGAATCATTATAATTCAAAGCGTTAACTAATCGCTTCAATTACAAAATGCGTTATTAAAATACTCTACTACTAATTAGACTTAATATGATAAATTGTTAATTTAAATTTTACGAAACGATAAAATGATTGCTAAATGGATATTAACAGAATTCAGATATGTTATCATTACTTTCATATATCTGATTGAAATGTACTATCATCATTTTATTTTTTATTTTTTTTTTTCTTTTTGACTGATTGTTTACAATTTCAACGATTAATTAAAAGAGTGTAATATTGCAACAATCATTCTGCAGTACTCTCTTTTATTTTGGAAAGGAAAGATAGTTCTATCTGATTGAGTATGTGCATGCAGAATGCATGCATTGCATGTTGATGTTTGCAAAGTGCTCAGTTACAAATATGAAATGCGATTGTATGTGGCAGTGTTACTGTTCCTTACTCTTTTCATTCTTTTTACTTTCTTCTCATTGCTTTTTTTGCTTCAATGCAATTTAGAAATTCACTTTTTCTTTTCTTCTTTTTTTTTTTTAAGAAGTTTGAAAATGAAAGAGAAATTTGTTTTCATTAAAAAATTTACTTTAAATAACATTTGTGTAATTTATTTCCATTTCATCGTAATGATATTTATACGATTGGATAAAATTTTTTAATTCAACCAAAAATAATTGTTTAATTAAATTAACGATACAAATTTAGAACCAGTTTAGTGCCAGATTCTTGAAATTTTTTATTGCTATCTAGATTTTTTTTTTTTTGATGAAGCCATGTATTTGGGTAATTTTTTTCCAAAAATTTTTTTTTTCCAAATAAAGTACTGAGAGAAG